TCTCATGTTTCTGAATCCATGTTGAGTATCTCTTTCGACCACTATGACTCAGTGGAAAAAATGGACTTTTCCTTGTCGAAAGCAGCCATTATTAACGTTGTTCCTAACACGAACCATGCTTTAGTCGGTAGCTAAAGACCGATGACTCACCGCCTTTACAAGCTACTTTTCACTGTAACGGCCTCTATCTTTACGTTGGCGCACTTTGTGAGTATATTTTGTTCTAATAGCTATTTTGATATGATTCAAATACTTGTTATAGCCGTCTTTCGCGGTTTGCATTTGAAAAATATTTAATCAGCCTTTCTGCTAAGTATTCAGTGTCACAGAAAATGACTACTCCGTTATGGTGAAAGAAAATGATACAACAAAGGATTTCTTTCCAGATTTTCAGCCATTGACTGCCCGTTACTGCAGAATCGGATGATAGAGGATTCTCAACTTTCTCATCCCAGGTCGATTTTCGTGCGAAAATCGCGGCAGGACTCGAGTTAAAAAGTCGCGGCGCGAACGCCATTAGACTCGCGAAATAAGACGCGATTTTAGAGATCGCTATAAGGTCTCGCTAGTGGTATTTCACTCCCTTACATATAGTGATTCTCACGACAAGATCTTGCTACCCTAGGGAAACCTCTTGTAACCAAGATCTTGACTTCTTGAATTTTTCCAGTAAGATCTCGATTCAAGATCTTGCTAAGAAAATATAAGAATTCAAGCAATTTCAAGAAGTCAAGGTCTTGAACATCTTGTAATTTCTTGACTTCCTGTACCAAGATCTTGAAAATTCTTGAATCATCGTTTTGTTTTACACTCTTGTGTAAATATAAGTACATCACATTACAAGATCCTCTTTGCCTCTTCATGTAATAACTGGAATAGAAGACCGCCCTGTTCTTAAGATTTTTAAGAGAAAAAGCGCCAGTTATACTGCTAACAAAACGATACTTTGAGGAAACCTCTTTTTTAAACACAATACAAAACTCCTCTAAAATCTTTAAAACTCAGGACAGATTAAAAGACTCGGGAACAACCCATTCAAATACCAAACATGTTCCGTTTATTTTCGTTTATAGAGGGCTACTGTGTGAAAGTTTCATTGAATTTGGAGCTTACGACAATTTAAGAAACTCACTATACTAAGGCCCGTTCTTCGAAAAAGATTTCGCGCGGAAAGAAGAATTATTTTCCCGGGTTCCACAGATTCACGAAAAAGCATTTTTTTTTGTAAATGGATGAGGTAAAAAGTCTAGTTGTAGACTATGAATAATTTTTCTAAACAATTCATTTTCTTTCGCCGAAAATAATTGTTCTATTTTTGTCGGTCTGTTTCTCTACAAATTACTATCTATCGATTTTCTGACAGACTGTGGCACTGAGAAAAAAGCTTTCTGTGCAAATTAAAATAGGGTGTAAGCTGCTATTCAAATCTCGAAAAAATGTACTTTCGTTTTTTCACATAATGTCTACGTTTTTGCTCCCTGAGAAGCGCTTCTGAACGAACGTAGAGCCTCCAGCATGGTGTCAATGGAAAAATGACATCGAGTTCCCTATGGCACCATCAACAAAATGATGTTCGATCTGCACGTTTTGAGACATAGATCTCGGAAAAACTGGGACTTCTAGAAATTCGACGAAAATCCGAAAACCAAACTGAAGTTTTCCTAAACCCACCATCAGCTATTCAAATTTGAACCGAATGAGACTTCTCAAGTACTTTCGCAGCTCTACAGTTATTTCCAAAAAAAACATTTACGACCTAAAACCCAAAGCAATGGGCGAAAAACGACTTTTTCAATGAAAAGTTTTTGGATCAAAATTGATTTTATTTAATTTTCAATGAAAAGTTGGATATAAGCATGAAGTTTTAGGAATAATTTTTCACTTTATGGTGGAATTATAGGCATTTTATTGAGGTCAAATATGCAGATATGAATTGTCATAGCTCGATGTGCCATATTGATAGAGGTTTAGATCAGCAATGAAACATCTTACTATTATTAAATGTTTCTGTTTAAAAAGCCCACCTCAAGTTATATAAATGGCCACCATTGATCGGCAGTCGATATTTATTTACGATCATTTACGTGCATGAATAGAACATTGTATTACATTCAATTCTTCGTTAAATGATAAAATATTTTGTAGATAAAGTTGAAAAAATTCTTTGCTTAGCGCGTTTATACATATTTTTTTGTTAAAAGGTTGCGAAGCAAAGGCTATTTAATTTTATGGCTTATTTTAGGAGATAACTGATGCTCATAACATGGCTCCAAGGCTTATTTGTGTACCTAACAGGTTTTTCAATTTTTTACATGTGTTTAACAAAGACAAGTGAAAAGAATGACAGATGTTAGTTTTCTCTTTGTTTTTCTTTATCATATTATTTCAAGGAATAAGTCAAAAGTATAAATATCGAGTTTTAGAAGAATCTCGATATATACACGTTTATTCTTTGCCATTCACATCGGTAGCGGATCGAAAAGTATGTGGTCCATAGTACTATTTTACGTTCTTTTATTATCAACAATAGTTAATGGTTCACCCAGAACAGATGTTACCGTATCTGGAGGTTCGGCTGGTAGTGCAATGGCAACACAATTGCACATTGCATTTTCAAATGATATATCTGGATCTGGTCTACTAGCCGGTCCACCTTACTATTGTGCACAAGGTTTGTAATCCTTTATGTAGTTAAGTTGTACTAGAAAGAAAAATTTCGTACTATCCTGAGTTTCTGTTTATATAACATATAGGTTTTTAAAGTATCTAAAACACATGTGTTTCATATGTTAGGTAGTATGTTAAAAGTTGTTACTGATTGTGTATTTGGCTTTGGAAGTGTAAATGAGATTCATAAGAAAATGAAATCCTATGCTTCGGATGGTAAAATTGATAAATTGGAAAATTTATTAGGCGATCCTGTTTATATATTTCGTGGTAAAAATGACATTGTTGTTACTGAAAGACTTGCTAAAGATAATGAAGAAGTATATAAACCATTCAATCCTAATTTAAAAACAAATTACGATACAAACGTTAATCATGGTATTCCTACAGAGAATTATGGTGGGAAATGTGAAACATTAAATTCAGAGAATTTTCTCAATAACTGTAATTTTAGTGTGGCATATGAAATGTTAAACCATTTATATGGTGGAAATTTAATTAAACCAACTGTAACAACCAGATTAAATGGAAAATTAATTGAGTTCGATCAGGGTGCATTTATGAATCGCCAGCAGTTGGATGCAACAGAAGAACGTCGTATAGTTGATACATGGTCACAATGGATTGATACAACATTACAATTAATGAACCCAGTTAATTACATGCCAGTATCAGTATTACCTAGTAATGGAAATTATGCAGCCAAGGCATACTCAATTAGTTTCGACAAGACAGCTTATATGTATGTACCATCCAGATGTTCAAAAGGAAAAGGTTGTTCAATTCATGTTGCTTTACATGGATGTAGACAAGGTTAGTGTTTTTGTTTGTTAATTTTCGCAGTATACACAGTCCATTAATTGTTTTCCTAGGTAAGGAGCGTGTTGGTGAAACAGTTGCATTGCACGCTGGTTACAATGAAGTAGCTGAATTGAATAATATAATTGTCATTTATCCACAAGTAAAAAAGTCTTTAGTGTTCCCAATAAATCCGCAAGGTTGTTTTGATTGGTGGTCGTATACAAACAATAATTATGCAAATAAATTAGGACCACAAATGTCGGCTGTCAAAAATATTATTGATACTGTTCGTGCTATACATGCATAGTTTGAATGCTAAACAAAAAAGTTGCAGTTTTTGTAAAATGAATGGAATAATAAAATATTAAATATGATTTCAAGATCGGAGACGGGTGATTTTTCTTCCTAGAAGTAACATATGGTTTCAAAATCAAATATCCGCCTTATAACTATAGTGGTTAGAACCATTATATGTAGTTTCGATTAAATATTTGCATTAAAAAAAATCATATATATGCTTTATTAATTTAGGAAGATATGACGTTATTCCATTTCATATATTACTTCGTTACTTATTCAGATCTTTTTACTCGCTCAATACAAATATTTTCACATTTCGGGGATAATGGTAGACAAGAGTTGTGAAGCTATTCAAATGAGTCAATCTCCTGATCATCTGACTTGGATGACCGATCACTCTGGACTTCTGAAAATCCTTTGATACACACGCACGAGTCGTTCAGTGAATTTTGCATGGGAAAAATAAGTCCCACTATAAAACGTTATAAAAAGAACAGTTTTGTTTGGTTGTAAACTGAGAGCCTATCCCTTACAGAATGTCATGAAGCAAATAGGCAATAATGAATATGTTTAATCTCGCAAGTCGTTAGCAGTATAGTTATTTTGTTCTTTGTCATGTATAACTTATCAGTAGGAGGTAAGGCGCGCGTAATTCAAACATCAAGCACTATTTTATTTTTAGCTTCTTTATATATGATTCGATAGAGAATTTGAAGCTGATCACCAATATCGCCTTTTTAGCCTTCCCAGTACACGTTTGAGTGTCGAAAAATTGAAAATACGGGAAGGGTCTTAAAAGCCGAAAAACTTTCCTGTTTCGAAAAAAGTTGAACACTTTTTCTCCTCTTTATTTTGAAGCTTTCAAACAGCTTTTTTCTAATTCAGCGTTGCAAATCGAATTAGAAAATGTGCCTTTTATGCTTCCCATATGTAATGTCATTGCACGAAAAATTCATCTTCAAGGATATCTCCAAAGCGGAGACCTCATCAGAAAAATCTGTCTAGTTTTTTTTGGTAAAGGATAGAATGTTCATTCCTGTGCCATTCGAGCGGTCTTTATTCGAACTACAAAAGTATAACTCGTTTTTCTTTTAAATTCCTCTCCATTGCTGAGAAATTTCACTTTTGCTAAATCAGGAGCGAAAAAATCGGAATTCTGCTCGTAATTCTCAATTTTCTCCAGTAGAACTCGCTTTTTATGCAATAAAAGTATCATATTCAGAGTCAGCGTCAAAAACTGAGCCGAATGATATATGCTTTGAAAGTTTCCGGTGATTTTCATTTTTTGGTGAAAATCTCAGTAAATTTCGAAAAACACAAAATTTTCACCAAAAAATGGAAATCACCGGAAACTTTCAAGTCATATATCATTCGGCTGGCGATATTGGTAATTAGCTTCAAATTCTCTATCGAATCATATATAAAGAAGCTAAAAATAAAATAATACTTGATTTTTGAATTACGCGCGCCTTACTTCGCAAAAGCCAAAAAATCAAATCAAGTCTTCATCACAAAGTACTGGTTAAGGAGGTCTCTAGTCTTTTAATCTTGCCTAAATAATTCTTTTGACGATGAGTTACTATCCATTAACAATGGATTTACGAAACTCCATGTAGTTGAATAGTGGAACCTACTCTTCCCATGCAAAATACGCTGAACGACTCATGTGTGTATCAAAGGATTTCCAGCAATCCAGAGTTTATCGGTTATCCAAGTCAGCAGATAAGGAGATTGACTCATTCGAAGAGCTCCACAACTCTTGTCTATCACTATCCCCGGAATGTGAAAATATTGATAAAGAAAAAGAAAGAGGAAACTAACATCTGTCATTCTTCTCACTTGCCTTTGTTAAACACATGTGAAAAATTGAAGAACCTATTAGGTACACAAATAAGCCTTTGAGCCATGTTATGAGCATCAGTTATCTGCGAAAATAAGCCATGAATTAAATAGCCTTTGATTCGCAACCTTTTAACAAAAAAATATGTATAAACGCGCTAAGCACATCACATCAGACAAGCAATTCTAACTTTCAACGAATTTCGTCTAAAGCATTCATATGGAGAATTCAGTTGTTCAACGCGCCGTAAGCATTGACAAATAGGGTATACATATGCCACACATGTCATGGACATGTCCTTCAATATCATCAAGACTAATTTATTACTGGGCAAGTCAGTATTGCATTGAAAATAATGTTTTAAACAAGTTAGCGCTTAACACTTATTGGACTAATACTCATTAAAACTCATTTTTGGACATCCTGCAGGGATTATTTTTCAACGTAAAACAGCTCATTTTGTAGAAAATTGTCTGCTCTATAAAATGCCGTAAAACGTCTTTTAGTCTTTCTCAAATTTGACTACTTTATACTTCTTTCAAATGAAAACGTTTTGTTTTTAAATTTCAAAAATTTAATTTATTTCATTTTTTTGCTTTAATTTTTGAATTCTCAGAACTAAAAAGTAGCACATTTTGTTCAGTTTTTTTACTCGTTCAATTGATATATAAGTGCTTTATAACAAAGATCGTCAAGACGCACAAAAGAAAGAATAAACGGTTTTTCAAGAAACGTTTTAGCACAAATAAACTTTATTTGTATTCAATATGAACTAACCACTACATATCACACATACACACACTTTTACAAAACATCTCTATATATAGTATTTTGAACAAGAGTCCACAAAAACGGAAAAATCCCACAACATCTGTGAGAATATCCAAGCGATACCATTGAAAACAAAGCAACGATAGTGGGAAAAATGTTATATACAAAGTATAGATTATCGTGACCTAGAATATGATATGATACCTATTATAGCATAGAAACGGAAAAATAGAGTTGAACATATATTCGAGAAACGAAAGAGAAGTGGAACGAAAGTCATATGTGAAGAAAACGACATGAACGGTTAGAACCGAACGAAAGATCACAGATAGATACAAAGCAGAACCAACATAACAAGCACATAGGCGAATGTGAAGTAGTGTTAACAGTTCAGAACGTCAACGGCAAAACCGTTTCCATTCCCGTTTAAAATTTTGCCAAACCAACGTGAACGGCTACAGCCCTACCCCGAACATTTTTCGAACACACCTATGTCTCTTACAACTTTTTAGTATTTTAACTATAACTCAAAAACGACATGTCTAATCTTTTTGAGCAATAATTCATTCGAAAGGGAATTAAAAACTGAACAAA